TACCAGGTTTACGGTCCCTTTTCCTACCATCTGCTGGACGTTGGTTCCCAGCAGATCTGGTGTTTGTTGTAGCTTGATGCAGTATGTTTTCCCACTTGTGCACAGCTGGGTATCCTCCTCCTACTCTGGACTGGAACTACTATACCCATTGCTACCAGGTTTTGGACCAGAAAGGTCATCCTGCCAGAGCTTTCCACCTTCTTACCATCCACTGATATCAGTTCCCAGCAGATCTGGTGGGTATTGGTTGTGTTGAAATGCACACAAATGGAGATGGATTTTGGTAAGGAAGCTTGTCTTCCCTACCAGTTCTAGTTTCGAAGTGTACAGGTAGGTGATCCTTTACCTACCGCAGATCTGATGTATCATTCTAGATACTGTCTGATATTGTTTGAGGTCAAACTACCACTATGGTCTGTTGCACCCTAGCCACTCAACACCCAGAAGTCCTATTAATTGGTCATACATATTCTGGGATTCCTTCATGTTTTTCCTCCTTTTAAGTTTGCAACATAACACTCATAAAATAGCAAAGAGTATACCTTGATCGGATGTGCTAAGGTGTGATGTTACCCCTTTTGGTTCCACACCTCCTAGTCTCTTTTTTGGGTACTTCCTGAAGGGGGATAATTTTTTTACCAGACAACTACTTGTGAGAGGAGGTAAGATATCGTATCAGAAGTTAGCATTTTGCTTCACTGAAAATGTATTTTCGATAGATACCTCTTCTTATATTTCCCACCTAGCCTCTGGTGATATATGTTGTAGGTCTTCTGACCAATTTCGAAGTGATTAACAAGTGCAACAGTGAAGAAGGCACTGATCATGATAAAAATTGTGTCCGACTCCTATTGGTAGAGAGCTGCTGCATGATCATTTGTATGTGGATATCCAGAAGCAGGAGGTCGAAGGCTAGTGGCAAGGGTTGAAAATTTGTGCCAATAGAGGGCTGTACTAATTGGGAAAAGCTATTTTGTGAGAGGAGGTAAGTATCTATTGGAAATACATATTCAGTGTAGGAAAATTCTAACTTTCATTATAACCATTAAAGGGAAATGGAATTAAAGTGATCATATTTTTAAGCTATGAGAAAATTTATTCTTTTTTTTTTTTTCATCTATACATTTCTAAATATCTAATTTACTAGTAAGGAGACAGATGAATTTAAGATGTATGTATAGTAGTTAAGGGTTTAATTTTCAAGATTGAGAAACTTTCGCTTCAGGAAAACCTATGGAAGGAATATTATTTAACTCTAAAAATGAAAAAAACCATTACTTTTATGTTATTTTTGTTTTAACATCAAAATAAAATTATACTGTTAATAAATATGAATAGATGTACTGTAGTTTACTTTATTTCAAATGAAGTCAACAAAAGTTAAGCTTTAAAATTCAAAGTAAAATAAAAAATCTCACAATTTTTGACAGTAAATATTCTACATCAAAAGTTTTTTGATAACATCTGTAGTTAAAAGAAAATAGATAAAATGTCTTACAATGAATCAAAAAACACAAAACACGATGACTACAAAAAAAAAGGTTAGTTTAGAAAAATAAAATGAAACTTTTTTTTTATCATCAGAAGTTAATATTTTACACATGAAGACTGGAATGTAAAATGCCAATAAATATTTAGTGGAGATAATAATTAACTTTACCACAAGTTAACAGTCATTTTAATTTTTTTTCTATTTTAAGTAGTTATATCCTCATGTATTTACATTCCACTTTTTTTTTGCACTTTCCATATTGTGCTTGTCCTGGAAACAAAATTTGAAATTCTTTCCTTCGTGTCCTAATTTGATTATAGATTTATTCTTGACCAATGTTTTCTTTGAGTTTGAATAACCTTAGAAATACCTTTGATAAAATTAACATAACATCATTCATTTAAATGAATAAAAGATATGTTAAGGTATTGCAAGTATTGTTGAAATGTACACAAGTTTTTCCCTGAGAAATCTAAAATATTTTTCAAATGAGTTTTGAAATAAGACTTTGAACTCGGAGCTTCAATAAATATCTCAACTTTTTCTCTGTTAGCTTTACTGCAATCATAAAGAGTGATCTAATTAGAAGTGTACTGTATTCCAGATATTGGTCATTTGTATTAAATTTGTGATCCAGAAACTGTGTTATACACACATCTAATAAAAGTGCCAATAAATATTTAATTCCAAAATTTAATTGTTGAAAAAAAGGTTATTATATATCTTGATAACTTGTGCATTCCTAGTCTGCTCAATACCGTATCACAGATAGGGAGGTGGAGTTTTCTATCAAAAAAGAAACTGCTGCCTGGTGGCCTAGAATTGTTGCTGGTGAAAAGAAGCCTGCATGGCTAAAAGTTGATTTTGATAAATTGATCACTGAAGACGATGAAGATGAGGAAGACAAAGAAGAAAACTTTGCTAATGTAAGGAATGACATAATTAATTTTCCAGCAAAAAAAGCACACTATATAACACCTGAAGTGGTTAGACAGTGCACTTTTTAAATTATTAGTAAATCTGAAGTCAGAGTTGACAAATTATTAACCCACTATACATTTCTTTTGTATACAACCATAGTGAACTAGTGCTAAGTAATGTTTTCTTTATTTTCTTATGTGGGAGCTCACATTAACAGTTCAAAAAGAATTTAAATGTATTATTTCCACCTGAAAATGTTTTCTAATATTTCAAATATTTTACCATAACCAAAACTATACACATTATTTTACGGGAACCCTCATGTTATAAAGTAGAATAACTAGTCTTTCAAAATAATACTTAATTCGTATTAACTTTGTTCCCTGAGAAAGACATGACATGTTCAGAAAGTCACAAAAGTTTAATGCAATTAATTGGAATCAGTATTCATGGGACCATTCAAGGGATTTTGTTTCATGAATTTTTGATATTAGTAACTGAAATCAATATTCTTGGAAACACTGAATTTTTTTATATTTTTTTACTGCAACATATATATAAATGAATGAATTTAATGTCTTTATCTTTAGAAAATTCAATAAATTGTTATTTGTGGTAAGGATTGCTACAATATTTTGATCAAGATCTTGAAAACAAGGATTGGACACTAATTTTGTATCAGGAATTATTTCTCCATGTAGGATTAGGGTATTGAAAACCATCTCAAACTAATTAAAAAATCAACAAATATAAATTAATATATTCTTGTGTAAAAAAAAATTGTTTTACCTATGTTAAATAATTGTAATTTAGGATTGCTTTTATAAATTATGTTCGTTAGTATTTTCTTTGTACTTAACAATTTTGAACTTTTTCTAGTCTTTAAGTGATGTTCTGAAGGAGCTAGAAGACCATAAGAAAAATAGAAAGAAGGGTAAGTTTGTCATTTTAATTCTAAACTTACACTAATTTTGTCTCTGTCAAATTCATATCAATCAAAATATCTTCAAACTGTTTTTATAGCCTTTCAACCAATTGTTTTAAAGCATTTGTTCAGAATCCTATAAGAAATGATATTTTGTTATTGGTATTTTAAAAATACACCCTGATAGTTCAAAGCTTATAAAAAAGCTGATTATTAAAGTAACTTGTGGATGTTGTTATTGTACATAAACATATAAATATAATTCATTTCAGTTTGCAAAACTGAAAGACGAGTTTCTGTATAAAATAACAATAATTTTATAATTAGAAGTAAAAAACATTCTAATGCCTTGTTTATTCTGATGTAAGGATTACATTTAGTTTCTTTTGTGATTAATTACAATAATGCACATGCTCATAGATTAAAATTGTATATAATTATAATAAACCTCATAATTTTTACATAAAAGCAAAGTTTTACTCAAGCCTTGATTTGAAAGTGAGTTAAACTTTGACAAGAAAGATTTCAGGTTTTAGAACAATGAAAATATTAACTGAACTTAGCGAAATGTGGAATATTAATAGCTTAGAAAAAACCCTTATTTATATTTAATATAGTAATGTTAGTATAACTAAAATATCTACTGATAATTTTTTCTCTACTGGATATGCAGATGTGTTTGTTACAATTTTGTGGTTAGCACAATGATAATTTATACGTTAGGGAAGGATCTGGTTATATCTTGATGAAAATAATTTATCTATTTGTAAAGATTAGACCATAGGTGTGCAGTGACTGAAGATTAATGTGATATTAACTATAAACCTCTTACCAGGAGCATCCTTTTGTGTGCATGTCATGAGGTTTTTGTGAATTACATTCAGAATTTAATTAAACTACTTTGTTATCATGGTACATCAATGAATGTAGCATAACAATTAGTCAGTTATCCATGTTTTAATAGTTTATAAGTTTTAAGTTCTTCATTTTATAAGGCAGTATTAAAAAAAAACATGAATTTCCCCTAGTGTGAGAATTGAATTGTGACATTTTCTCTTTCTGCATCCCCTCTTCTCTAATTTATTTTCCACCTCTTCAAGAAATACGAAATTCAACGTAGATAACTCATTTTAATATTGTCATTCATCAGGCAATGCATAATTTTTTTAGTCCTCAATTTGGTTACAGATCCATCAAATAAATAATCATCCCCCTCTTGCCATGCCCACACATCACATCCTCTCTCTTTCAGAAATTGGCAACAGTTCTCTCTGATGTTCAATACCATATTATTTATAATCAATAGAAAGCCAAGGTTTTACTCTATCCAGTTACTTACTATATTATGTTGTTTTCTGTGCAGAGAGTTTCAGTTTCACTTCAAGTTTAAGCTTTATTCCCTGAGAAACACATCAACGAGCTTAGCTGAATTTCTAACAGCTCATATTGCATAGTTAGAAAGCCAGAAAAACTGTGATAGTTATGAAACATATTCTGCTTTTTTTTAAATAGTTTTTAATCTTAACGTGGAAATCACTTTGCACTCAGACTAGTGAAAAAGAAGACTCTCTCTCTATATATATATATATCCATAGGCAAAAATACTTCATTAATAGAACTGATTTTTTGTGTACAAATGACTTGTAATGTTTACTAAAGTCTGCCAAATTTTGTGAAGACACATACTATAATGAAAGTTATAGTATGAAAAAACTATAATGACCCTAATATGGGTATGAAGTCAGTTGAATTGACTGACCTCGTTGTGAGAAGGTTAAAGTTCAGATTGTAGGTATATTATGATTGAAGACTAACAGGATATTAATATTTAAGTTTTTGGAGTGTAATCTTTGAATCAAACAGGCTGTACGAGCATAGTGGCTCACAATAACAGGATATCATAGTATCAAGATTTGGTCTTATGCTAAAGGTAAAAATGCTATCTCATTTTACTAACCACACATAAAGAATTTAATTACTCGTTGAATAAAATGTGATTTTACTTTATCTTTGCAGTGGAAGATTTTCGTAAGATTTATCTTCTCCTCTACAATACGTTTCAGTTTGTGAGCTTTCTGTGTATTTTGATTTTGATGACTATCCGTTATACTAAAGAAGGACCATGTAAGTTGATTTTTATATTTTAGATAATCAGTATCTTGTGTGGAGGATGAGATTTTTTCACTATTTAACCTTTGAAATACATTCTTTTGTTTAAGTGTGTTTTTTTTTTGCCACTTTTGATGTGTGGTTACTCTTCATATCTAACCAAATGCCACAAATAAATGATTGTTTTTGCTGAAAATTCTTTAAATGTTGTAATTCAGGAATGGTAGATGATGCTTTATAGATACCTTTTAAAACTTAAAAATTTTCTCTCAGTATTGAAAAACCAAAAAAACATTATTAGGAGAGTTTTCTGTTATAATAGTAACTTCCAGTCTGAGTAAACTAGGCAGTTAGAAAATAGCTAAAAAACATTGCAACTGTCAGACCCTGGGTTACTATTACTAATCTGAGTACTGGATCCACATGAGTTTGACACATAACTAATGAAACAGCATGTGTAAAGTAATTTTTCTCAACTAGAATATGTAATGATGTATTCAAAAAGTTTTTTATTTATCCAGTTTCTATGGATGGTACTTATGAAGCTGTAGGTAAAACTATGAAGTTTTGCCAGATTTTGCAGCTCATGGAAGTTGTTCATCCACTTCTACGTTTCACCAAAGGAAGTATTTTGATGCCCCTCATACAGGTATTACATTTAATTATACTATGACATCGAGCACAGCTAATGACATCCCACTTTCATAACTAAGTAAAATAATATATACTATGTTAACAAACACAATGATGAAACACTGTTCTAGTGACTCTTATCTAAATACTTTGAGTTGTGATAAAGTACAGTTGATAACTCTATACTTGGATTTTATCAAAGGGAAGTTGTCTGGTACCTCTAACCCTATCAATGTAAGAAATACTGTAACAAAGTACAACTGATAAAATTGTGGGCCTTCCAGGTTTTATCAAAGGGAAGTTGTCTGGTACCTCTAACCCTATCATAGTACTTAATGGATCTTCTTGATATACTCAAAACACAAAACATTTTCACCATGTTCTTATACACTTTAAAATTTTATACAGGTAGTGCATATCTTTGCCATTAAACACATTTACTGCTGACTGGTTTAATGTATCTATAAACATGTGCTTCTGTACTTTGCCATAGTATTACTTACATTAACAGGATCAGTGGTATCACAAAAATTATTTTTGAAGAAACCCAGAGTCCATGACTTTTATCAGCTGTACTTTGTTACAGTATTTCTTACATTATGTTGAAAGTAGTCACTTAGAGAGAACTTCTAATTGTACGTTATACTAGTGTTATATAATATTTTGGGTTCTGCAAGAGCAACCTGTAGTTAACAACAACATATTTAGCGAAATTGTTCACTCAAGTGTAACTATTACATTGCTTTGTACCATACGTAACATGATAATCAATATAGATAAAATTAACACAAGTCAAGACAGTGGCCACCATGATAGCTAATTCTCAAAGTGTAGCTTTAGTTATAAGTGATTGCTGTCTTTATGTACTATGATTCTTTTATGTTTGCTAGTTTTTATATATCAAGAAATTACTTTTTTTTTCTGGTAAAAAAACAAATTGTTCATATACCATTAAGTAAATTGATACTGCTATTATTTCTGTACTTATGGTAGTTAAGTGAAAAAGCATACAATAATTATTTCTACTTATTGCTGTTTTTAAATTTTATCAAATTTAACAAATGCATATATTGTTTTCAGGCATGGGTACAGAATTATTTAAAGGGCAGGGTTCAGACTGTAAAAGGGCATACACATAGGAACAATAATATATTTGTGATTTAACAACCTAAAACAGATGCAGGAGTGTTTCAAAGGAAATTTGTTGGTTTCATGAATAGTCAATGTTCAAAATATAGGTTTTCGTAACATACTTGTTTTAAATTTCTCCTTGTTGTCCTACTAAATGCTTTAATTTTTTCTAGGGTTTGTGCTTGGTGATTTTATGTATTAGAGAAATTTGATCTGTTCATAAAGATAATTTGGAAACAATGTTCATTGGTATTTTGATATTTATCATATACAAATTACACACACACACAAATTACACTATAGCTCGCAGTACCTCAATAGAGTCAATTTGACCCTACTCCAAGTGTAGAATTTCTTCACAAAGGGAAAATTATGTAATTAAATTTCTGTGACGATGTTGTGTTTAATAATGATTATTTTATCAGATTTCTCTAAAATCTAAGAACGATGGAAAATGTAGGTGTTACCATCGAGGGCACTTCGCATCGAAAAGGGCAGGTTCAAACTCTCTTCCCCCCCCACACACTACTCAGTAGTCGACATACTATCTCATATAGTTTGTTCGTGTATATCTACACTCAGTGTAAGTAAATAACTAAAGTAAGTTAAGG